CCAGGGGACTCCAATTTGAGAAAAAGGAGTCTTGGTAAGTAACAGGGCCCAGGGTGTGCTTACTGCTGGATACCTTAAGAGTAGTTATAGGGGTGAGTGGATGGTTGAGATGGTTTTGGCTCAAATCATGTCTCCCTCTCTCTGCCCTTTTCCCAGTCGCGCTCTCTCTCTCTCTCAAAATAATAATGTTTTTAAAAAGATTCATCATCATCATTGTTATCACAAGTCACAAACCCTGCTGTGAGAGGGCAAATCAGAGACCGTTCTCTGCATGGTAACTTATTTGTCAAAATAATGAGTCTCATTCAGCAAGTAGCAGCAGAGGTAATGATGATAATGCTTACATGAGCGCACACTTTTTACCATTTGGTTATTTTTTTGTATTCTTTGAAATACATCATGCAGGAGAGTTTCATCAACTACAGGCAGGCCTACGGCACAAGGGACAGATTCTTACAGGCCACATGACTCAACATTTGAGAACAGCAGGGTTAGATGCCCTCAGGCCTAAGTGGGCAATGGAACTCACATGGTTTCACGTTTGTTACGTAAGATGAGATACCATTACTCATCTCTGGTTCTCAGGCATTAAAGAAAAAGTTATTCAAGACACTTGTTGAGAATGATAAGGCGGACTTTCTTCACGGACCCTATCGTGTTAAGTATAGGGACCACTGCAGTAGGAGTTTGTAGTGAGAAAGAGTTTGAGAACAAGAGTTTCCTTGTTCTCCAGGGAGAATAAGGAAAAGTAGGAATTTATAGGCGCAGGTGGGAGGGAGGGGATGGGAAATTACTAAGAGGATACATCAGGGGATAAGAGGGGTTCCAACTGAACCGACTTAACAAGATTCTTGCTGAAGGCAGGTCAGGATGATCAGACCTGGGAGGTGTTGGGGAATGAGGGACTGGATCAGATATCACCCGTGATCCGATATGGAGGGTAGTTCTGGTCAAACTGACTTTAGGGTTCTTGCTACAATTAGACAATGCAGAGAGAAACATGGAAGTCTGAAAGCCAGGGCCTAGTTGAGAAGAGAATTCGGAAGTGTCTAAGTAGAGGTTGGTCAAAGAGAATATCACTGTCACAGGAACCAAAACTTGCCCCTCTCCTGACTACCCTGTCGTATTCAGAGCAGCCAGATCCAGGTACAAATATATGATCGCAAGACATCCCAGCTTGATGTCCGTTGGCTGGAGGCCCTTGTCCTCATCAAGACAGAATCAGCCCACCACCGCCTGGGCCTATAGCCCACCAGGGAGCACTAAATCCTGGAGAGGTGAAAACGGAGGTCCAAGGAGGCCATACCAGGAAGGGGCACAAAATGAAGACATAATGAAGACGCAATTTCACGGTTACATCTGTCCATTTTTCATTGCCCCAAACTAATTTGCAACGGTCCAAATTAAATGTCAGGGAAGCTGGGTGTACAGAAAGAGAAAAAGAGATCGGTGAGCAAATATAACTGGCTTCAAAAACAATCCATCAGTTTGGTAACCAAATACTCATTTTGTATTTCTCCTACGCATGAACACTTGCTGCCCCTCCCAGCCCAAAACCCCATCCCATCACCACCTCAATCTCAATCTTAGTACTTACACTCCGAACCTAACCTCATACCAGGAGACTACAGCAAAATAGGTTACTTATCACTTCTCGCTCCCTCTAGATAGCTGTGGTTCAGGGACACGGTGAAAGGATCTTTTCAAACTGCTGAAGAAATTACCAGCAACCTAGATTTCTATACATAGCAAAAGTGCCTCTCAAGAAAAAAGATATCTTAAAAAAGATTACTTCAAGCCAAAAAAGAAAAGGTTAATGGGAAATTAACCCACATAAAACTCAATGCTAATCATTATAATTAAGAACAAGGAGAAGTGATTCCAGGTGAAATCTTCAGGGTGAAAGGAATGAGGATCTGAGAGAGGGGTGTGTTTGTGGGCTCATGCAACTGTTCATTCTCTGTGTAAAACAGAAATACTATCTCCTGTGGGGTTAGAATGATGGCATTGCGATGCATACCATAAAAATCATAGTAATCGAAATGGGACAAAGCGATGGATATTCCGAGTTCCCTATATTGTCTGGAAGGAAGGTAAAGGTATTTATAATTCTGCGCTAATGGATTAAAATAAGTATTTGTAATTTTTTGCTTAAATAAAATAAGTAAAATCGAAGAAAATACTTTCCAAAGTAGAAAAATTGGGGGGTTGTAAATGAGTAGACAGTACTTTTTTTTATTTATTTTTTTTAACGTTTATTTATTTTTGAGACAGAGAGAGAGCATGAACGGGGGAGGGTCAGGGAGAGAGGGAGACACAGAATCTGAAACAGGCTCCAGGCTCTGAGCCATCAGCACAGAGCCCGACGCGGGGCTTGAACTCACGAACCGCCAGATCGTGACCTGAGCCGAAGTCGGACGCTTAACTGACTGAGCCACCCAAGCGCCCCTAGACAGTACTTTTAAAGTAGTGGGTAAAGAAGAAGGGAGGCAAAGAAAAGCAGAGAACCCAAATGCATCAACTTTTACACTAAGTTGCTATCGAATAAATATTCAGATTAGCAATCAGAGATTTTTTCTTTTTCTTTTTTTTTTTCCTTAACGTTTTTTTATCATTGAGAGACAGAGAGCGACAAAGCATGAGCATGGGAGGGGCAGAGAGAGGAGGAGACCTAGAATCCGAAGCAGGCTCCAGGCTCTGAGCTGTCAGCACAGAGCCCAATGCGGGGCTTGAACCCACAAACCGCGAGATCATGACCCGAGCCAAAGTTGGACGCTCAACTGACTGAGCCACCCAGGTGTCCCAGCAGTCAGAGATTTTTAATGGCTCAATATGTCCCTGAAGGATTCGTCTTAATTATTTTTTTTATTTGAGTGTAGCTGACACACACTAGTTTCGGGTGTGTAGTGTAGTGATTATACAAGTTTATGCATTGTGCTCACCACAAGGAAGCTACCATCTGTCCCCATACAATGTGACCACAATATCGACTGTACTTCCCATGTTACAACCCTCATTCCTGTGACCTAATCATTCTATAACTGGAAACCTTTTATCTCCCACTCTCCTTTACTCATTTCGCCCATCTCCCTTCCCTATGGCAACCGTCGGTTTGTTCTCTGTATTTATAGATCTGATTCTGCTTTTTGTTTATCCATTTGGGATTTTTTTTTTTTTTTAGATTCCACGTATGGATGAAATCGTATGGTATTTGTCTCTCTCAATGTGGCTTCTTTCACTTGGCTTAGTACCTTCTAGGTCCATTTGTGTTGTCACAAATGGCACACACTCATCCTTTTTTATGGCTGCATAATATTCCGTCCACATCTTCCTTATCCATTCATCTATCGGTGGACTTCTAGGTTGCTTCCATATGTTGGCTATTGTATATAATGCTGCAATAAACATAGGGGTGCATATATCTTTTTCAAATTAGTGTTTTCTTTTCCTTTGGGTAAATACCCAGTTAGTGGAATTATTGCATCATACGGTATTTCTGTTTTTTTGAGGAGCCCGCATACTGTTTCCACAGTGGCCATG